GCTGTCTAGTTGATTCTGGCTCCTAGTGACCCTGTTGGACACCCCATAAGGTGTCCAAGGCTGTAAGTTTTACAGATGGAGCCATCTGTCACACCTTTCTCTAGGGAGAAGCTGGTGGGTTTGAAACACCAACAATCACTATTAATTTTTGAAAGTATGTTAAATTCTGGTGGCTCAGAGATGAGAAGTTCACCAAACTCACTGACAAAAAGTTTCCATGGCTTCAAGTTAAGAGGCTTTTGTATTACAGTCACTTCAAAAGGCAGAACTACAAAGAATTTTTCATTTCCTTATACTCTGTGGTTATAAGGGGTAGACCAATGGGAGACTCACAGAAGGACAAACAAGCCAATCAATTGGAAGGTGGAGGGTTGTTTACATAAGCCAATTCCTTAGCAATGACTCCATGCAATTTCCTTAGAAAGAAAAGAACTGTGGTAAATTTAAGTGAAAAATCAGAAATAATATGGATGTGGAAAAGACAGCTTGCATTTCATATCATTGTTTCAACAAAAACTAGAAGTACACAATTTGAAATTTTTTATTTACTGTGCAGCATCCATATTTATTGATGCATTTTAATTAATCCCACTAGCACTTATTTCCACTTCATGGTGAAACAGAAATACCAATCTCTATATTTAAAATAATTTGTTTCCATACGACCATTCTCAACCACCTATTCATGATCACCCTTTAGCTCTGGGTTATAAGTTGTTCTTCTGTGACACCTGAGAGATCTTTCTTCACATTTTCAACAATTTACTGTAATCAAAACTCTGTTTTGGTGACTCTTCAGAACCTGGAACTTTGAGAAAATGTGCAATATAAGCAAATGAAGAAATCACTGCAATATCCTTTACTAGTTTCCTAATATCATAATGAGACAATTCCAAATGTATAGTGAAAATTTATCCTTCACATCAACAGTTTGGGAGCTCTGGTGGCATAGTATCTAAAGCATTTGACTGCTAACCAGAAGGCTGGTGGTTCAAACCTACCAGCCATTCCTCGGAAGGAAGGTTGGACAATCTACTTCTGTAATGATACTACCTCGGAAACCCAACAAGGAGTCACTATGACTCGGATCTGATTCGACAGCAGTGAGTTTGCTTTGGTTATAAACAAATTTATGCCACTCATCTATTTCCCAACTCTCTTTATCATAAAAGAAAATGCCGGCCAGCGTGGGTTCAGTGTGGGTGTGTACAAGAAAAGTTTTTTAGTCAATAGAAAGATTGTCATTTATTGAGGTCCTAACTCTGTGCAGGTCCTGTGCTAGGTGCTAAGCATACAAAAAGGAGACACTAGCCCTACTTGAGGAACTCTGGTGGTATAGTGGTTAAAGCACTTGGCTGTTTACCAAAAGGTTGGTAGTTCAAACCCATGAGTAGCTCCACGGGAAAAAGAAGAGGCAGTTTGTTACTGTAAAGGTTTACACACAGCCTTGGAAACTCTATGGGGTAGTTCTACTCTGTCCTATAGAGTCACTATGGGTCAGAATCAACTTGATGGTAGTTGGTTTGCTTTTTGATTAGGCCCTGCTTTGGTGGAGCTCATTATGGTTCCATGACTTTGGCAACAGTAATATCCTTATATTAAATGAGCAAACCAGTTATCACAACCTTCATAAAACACATTTTTACTATATACTGCCCATTTAAATAAGATCTATAAAGTTGAGGGGATTACTTCCTTGCTAAAGAAGAATTAATTTCTTTGAAGTTAATTATTCATCTGGCTTTGGAACACTTTGGGAAACAAAGTGAAGAGCAAAGGGGATGGAAAAGACATTAAGGTTCCTGTCAGCTGTCTTGACCTCCTTGCTTCACCCACCCTCACCCCCACCAAGAATGAAATAGAGATATTTATTCTATTTGGATACTTCAACAACTCAATCACATTTAGAACGACTTGCCAGTGTAGGCCTTTGTTTCCAACAACTGTGGCCATGTTTTATACACATGTAGGATTGTTTGAGAATTAGAAGGGAAAGAGATATTGTTGCCATCCAACCACCTCATTTTCATAGGTGAATCTAAGGCTGTGGAATGTAGCTTGACTAAGGCCATGCTACTATAGTCGTCTGGTACTGCAAGTTCCATGAGAGCAGTGACTCTGTCTCTTTTTGGTGATCTTTGTATTCTTAGAGACCAGTAGCTGCCTAGGAGACAGATAGTAAGTGAGCAGTAAATGTGTGTTGAGTGAATGAAACAATGAATAATTTGAACAAGAAATAAATGAGTCAGTATCACACTTTTTAAAGATTTTTCCCAACTGCCATAATCTCAGATTTTCAGACAGATTTAAGATGCTTAAAAATTTCCAGGTTAGTTCAGAAATCATCATTTATCAATTTATTGTTAAAACAGTACTTTTTTTTTTTTAAGAGAATTCTTTAGTTTGTGTCCCAGATTAACTACATTTTCAGCTTCTGCTCTTTATACCTCTTGCAAATTAGGCAGAGGAAGAAGAATTAAATCACAGATCTTGCTGCTTGTTCACCCAAGTAAACCTTTTACAATAGCTGTTAACTGGTCCCAGCTGTTGTGCTAAATTTAGAATTTTGGATTATCTCTAACTGTTCTGTCTCCCATTACCAAGGTTAATTGAGAAATAATTGTAGAACAATTAAAACTCCAGGTCACAAAAGAAACTACCTAATACAGTATTCTATAATATCAAAGTCAAATCCACTGGGAGCTTAACACCTGTAGCCATTATAAAGAGTAAGGAACTGTTGCCAATTGTCAGAAATTTGATGCTGTTTTCATAATGCTAGAACATTTCAGGGAAAATGAAATGTTACCCTGCTGAAATGTTCTGCCTTTTTCTGATTAGATATCATCTTGGAGTTATGGTTAAAAATTATACCTGTGCATATAGTTTTACCATACATATCTAAATATCTAAAGAGCTCTGGTAGCCTAGTGCCTAAGGCAATGGACTGCTAACCAAAGGGTTGGCAGTTCAAACCCACCAGCCACTCCACAGAAGGAAGACTGGGCAATCTACTTCTGTAAAGATTTACCACCTGGGAAACCCAAAGGGGGTTGCTGTGAGTCGGAATCCACTCAATGGCAGTGAGTTTGGGTTTTTTTGGTTATCTAAATATCTAGAAAATATTAGTTTCTTATAATAGAAATTTCATATATTTGTGGTAGATCTGAGGAGCCCTGGTGGCCAGTGATTAAGTGCTCAGCAAACAGGGAGGTCTGCATTTTGAACCCACCAGCTGCTATTTGGGAGACAGATGTAGCAGTCTATTTCTCTAAAGATTTCCAGCCTTGGAAACCGTAAGGGGCAGTTTTACTCTGTCCTATGGGATCCTTATGAGTTGGCATCACTTGTCCGCAATGGGTTTGGTTTTGGTTTTGGTGCTACATCTGAGGCCAAAAAATTCAAAGGTCATTTGTATGTCACAGAAAAAACTTCTCTGATAAAAAAGTAATAAATGATGTTGTTAGGTGCTGTGAGTCGGTTTCAACTCAAAGCGACCCTATATAAACAAGATTGATTTGCGAGCAGGTCCAGCATCATCTTCACAATCTCTTCCATGTTTGAGCCCATTGTTGTAAATACTGTGTCAATCCACCCTACAGAGGATCTACCTCTTTTTTGCTAACCCTCCACCTTACCACGCATGATGGCTGGTGACTTAGCTTCCCAAATCACAGCAACATGCATACCACCACAGTGAGACAAACTGACAGAGGAGTGATAGAAAAGTAATACATACTTATTGTAAAACTCTGGAAAATACAGAAAAGTACAAAGAATAAACTAAACGATCCCCTTTTGATCTACTCTGGAACTTTTCTGTTGTGATTCTTGTATGCAAAATGATTTCTATAGATTTTTTTTTAAAGAACATCACAAATTTGTTTACTTCTTTTTTCCGTTTGGGCTTAAAACCCCACATAAATTTGTCTATAAAATGAGTAGCTAATAGCTTCAGCCCTTTTTAGGATGCTTTTTTTAACTACAGCAGATTCCTGTCATCTATTTGTGTAAGGGATGGCACAATATCACAACATGAAATGTCATCATGTCATATTGTTATAGCACAACAAAATTACAGCTCTCCAACAATAACACGGGGTCAAAAGTGCCCTCCTGCCATGAGTCAGTGTTTTAGAAGCTATGAAAGTTATTTTTAAGTACAGCGAATGCCTAGGAAGCCTGGGTTCGGAATCCTAAAATCACTAATTTGGGAAAATCTAGAGTGAGGGATGCTTCCTGTTTTCAAACTCCCCACTCCTTGATTCACACGGCTGCCCACTTCTTCTGTCTCAGCCACTTGAAACCCCGGTTCCAACGTGCGCTGCAATCCACATGGGGCTCGTTCATAACTCTGCGCCAGCATCCTCAGTGGAGTGGGAGGAGGAGACTATAATTATCCTCCAAGTCTGGGGCAGGCCCTTGATGACATCTCCCCAGTTACCCTGTGCTCTAGTATCTCAGCTCTGATTCCTAGTCCCAGACACGCGCTGCAGTCGGCTCGCAGCGCCGGCAGGAGGCGAGCAAGGCCGAAGCCCCTCTTGCCTCCACTGCCTGCCCGCCCCTCCTGGTCACGGTCCTCCGCGCCCTCGAGCTCACTGGGCACCTGCACCGAAACTCCAGACCCCAAGGTAGCTCCCCGGGTGCGGGATCGGGGTGCAGGGTGCGGTGGCGTTACCATAACAACCCGGCCCCATGCCGCTGAGGCTGCAGAGGAGGAAGTGACGAACGGTGGGTTGGCTGTTGTTGGGACACGTGACCCGGGTAATGTTTTGACAGGGCAAACAGCAGAGAAAGAACTGGGCGAGCGAAGGGGAACTGGAGCTGGGGCGCCAGATATAGAGACAGCTGGACGAGGAACTGGCAGAGGCTCGGGGCAGGCGGGCCGGCCGGGGTGACGAGCGGGCAACCCCGGAGACCGCGAGGGTCTGGTGGGAGCCGGTCAGGGCGAGGGGCTGAGTGCAGGAAGCAAAGCCAGGCAGCTGCTGAGGCGGGAGTGGATGGCCACAGGGGCGCCGGGGAGCCGCGCTGGGCTTGCAGCCTCGGGCTCCCATGGTTCACTAACGCAGCCCTGGGAGCAGCTGCGCGCAGCACTCGGCTCTCGCAGGACTTGCACCTCTAGAAACCTCGGGTCTGAGGTGGGAGTGTGATGTGAGCCGCTGAGCTAGCGGCTGAGGGGAAGTGCCAAGAGGTGGGATCAGGAGCTAGAGAGAAGAGCGAGTTAGTCAGCAGAGGTCGGCCGAGAGAGCCGAGGAGCAAGCCAGCCCAAGAGCGCCATGAAAACAACTCTCCCGAGGGGAGAGGGGCAGGCGCGGTACTCAGTGCAGCGGAGCTGAAGGAAATCCGGGGCTGCGGGGAGACGGAAGGGGCCCTCACCCGGCTGGCCGAGCAGAGTAGGGGGTAGACGCCAGGCTGTAAACGCCTTCTTCGGGCAGACTTCAGGCTGGGCCTCGTCGGGAGAGAGTTGGTAGGGGGGCGACCAGGAACAGCCGGGGAGAGTTCGTTTGGAGCTGGGGGCTGGGCACGAGATGACTCGTGTTTCTGACCCTCTTCTTGTGTAAACTTGGCCACGGTTGCCGCAGGAAGGCTAGCCAGAGGGTTAATTACACAGGTGAGGCCCGGGCAGGGCGGAGGAGCTCTAGGTTAGGCGCTGAGGGTCTTGAAAAGTACTCTTGGCGTTCAGCCAAGTCGAAGAATTTCGGTAACAGACATTGTGGAGGTGCCACTGCTCCCAGCAGCGTTTATCACTGAGGGGTTAGTTTGCTTGTGTTGCTTTTATGTTTTTCCCCAGTGCCTGTACCTCCAGATTATAAATAGATCTAGCTTTTGGTTCAGAGACGCTGTGTCAAAGAAGGACACATTGGCCTGGAGAGCGCAGAGGCGGGGAGAGGGGTGCTCGTCCGGAGGATGGGGGAGGCGGTGCGGAGAGTTTTGCTTTTTCAGACCTGCCGATAGTGCTGTCACCACAGTTGGTGCCAGGAAGAGGCCTGTTAGTAGTTTTCTTGAAAGGTTCGGGTGTTTGTGCAGGACCAAATTAATTTTGTTTTTATCTTTTTTAGCATTTTGAAAACAAAAGCAGAAGCCGTAGAATCAGCGGCGAGCCTGTTGAAAGAACCCACACGTGTATTTTTCAAAGCACTCTGGGTGGAAATTGGATGTGAAAATGAAGCCAGACCGAGGTAAATTATTTATTTAAGTAGGGTTTTTTCCCCCCCTCTGTGCCTAATTTTAGAAGCGTTAACCTAGTTCTGAGGCAAGATCCACTTTTTTTTTATGTTATATATGATTATCTGTTTCTTTTACAGATTTTAGCTGGTGCAGTTGAGAAGGGCATTTGTAAGAGTTGGGATCTAGAGGGGAGGACACGTTCGTCAAAAGTGCTTGTAAAGTAGTAGTTTCAAGAGAGATTCTAGATGTAACTCAAAATAAAATTGTTCTAGAACAAAATTTTGTCTGTATCCACAATACCTGATACCATTTGAGAGCTGTGGTTACTCATGTTTAGGTACAGTAAATCCAACTTCAGTTTTAGAAGCTTTTTGAACCTGATCATTTGTATTTGATAAATTGAAGAAAAACTTGATTTTTCAGCAGCTGACTTTTGTTTTTGTACTTTAAGCAAACTCCCAAAGTTTCACATGGACTTATTCAGTGTATCAATAAATGCACAGTTGGGGCTATAAAGTTCCTAGTACTAGGTGAATGTGTCATTTCCTTTCTAAATCTGTGTTTTCGGGATTTATGAGAATAATGTTTACACTGCTTTTCAAGGACTTTAAAGGAATTAAAAGCTCATCTGTCACTCTTCTGACTAATAGCAAGAGCCAATATTAGAAAATTTTTATATAATAATGGTTAAGAGTGGAGGCTTTGCAGTTAGATAGACATGGGATTTCAGGAGTTATTGTAGAGATTTTTGTATTGGGTACGCAGTTGGACTAGATTAGATTACAAAGAGTACCTTCCAAATCTGAGATTTTGATTGGAAATACTAATTTATCTGGATATGAATTAGGTGCTCATTTATGAAAGGACATGTATTAAACTGGATATTTTTTCCAAATGTATTTTTCAAGTAGCTTAGAAAGACAATTTTTCCAGTCTAGTTAAAAATGTCTTTGCTTAAAATGAATTAAAATGCATTAGAAAGAGATGGAGAAAGCCATTATTAATTAAATCTTTAAAATTAAGTGGCTAATACTTAAAATCAGGCAAGGCTGGCGGCTCAAACCCACCAAAAACCCCTCCTTGGAAGGATGGTTGGGCAATCTACTTCTGTAGTGATACTGCCTCAGAAACCTAAGGAGGGGTTGCTATGAGTCAGGTGTGACTGGATGGCACATAACAACAACAAACAACAACAGCTATGTAGGTTTAAAGTATTAGTGAGGTATATTGCTACTGAGCAGGTTGCTCGGTAGAATGGTCAAGTTTAGATTTTAGATTGCATCGGTGACTTTGGAAAAATGTCACCAGTGTAAGTAATTGCATGCCAGAATAAACAAACAAATAAAATCAAAGTCATTTTTTTAAATTGTTATTAAAACTTGCTTTAAGGTCAAGTAGTTTGAAATACAGTATTTACACACAATCTCTTAGTGAAGATCAGTGTTACGCACATATGTTTAGTTATTATATTCTAATGTAGTTTACTAGGGAAAATAAATTTGTTGTTCATCAGAATTCCTAAAGAAGTGACTTTCTTTAGCATTTTGAGGTGAAACTAGGAGATTGCAAGTTTAGTACTGGGATATTTCGTAATATGTATCTTTTGGCCCATTGCTTTCTTTTGACTGGGACCCAGAATAAATAATAACTTTTACTTGGAAAACTGCACAAATAACTGAAAACATCTTCCATAAAACGTTTCTACCTTTACTTTGTGCAATGTTGTCTTGTATTTTCTGCTTCATTTAAAAAAATATCTATTATAACCCATTGAATTGATTTTGTGACCAATTAGTAGGTTGTGATGAGCTGAAGTTTGAAACACACTGTAGTTTGGGCAACACTTAACTAGAAGATAGTAATACTTAACATTTTTCTACATTGGTGTCCAAGGAAGAATCCTAAGTGAATGAATTTTCTGGATAATTAAAATATCACTCTTTAAATCCCCAAAATATTTTCAGCTGTAATCAGGATATATGGAGAGATTTTAAAAATATTAATACTTTCCTGCCCTTAAAACTAAAACAGCATACAGAGTCAATGTCAGGTTGCCTTTACTTGATGATAATAGGGCATTATTGTGAATTTCAGTGTTGTACTCTGCTATAATTTAGAAATGCCTTTAAAAAATACTTAAGTTTATAAGGCTTTTTTTTTTAAACCTTAAATCACTTCAGTCCATTATGTTTTTTTTTAAGTTCTGATTTTGAATTCCTTTTCTTGGCATCGTTTTAATTTTAGTCTTTGTTGCTAATATGCTTTTTTTGCCTCCTTTTAATTTTACCGCTTTTAGTCTCTAGGCTGGAAAACTGGATAACCATGCTTAACTTGAGTTTTCTATGAAATGAGAATAAATAGAATCCTTCAGAGATACTCATTGAGATTGTGAATAAAATTTGTGGATTTTAGTGTGGAGATGCTGAGTTGTTTGCTTCAGTGGGATACAGGCGTGGTTCAAAGCAGGAACGTTTCTGATTAAGTACTTTGTTGTTGTTGTTGTTGTTATGTGCAGTCGAGTCAGCCCTGACTCATAGCGACCCCTCCTTGGGTTTCCGAGGCAGTATCACTACGGAAGTAGGATTGCCCAACCTTCCTTCCGAGGAGTGGCTGGTGGGTTTGAACCGCCAGCCTTCTGGTTAGCAGTCAAGTGCCTTAGCCACTATGCTACCAGAGCTCCCTTAGGAGCCTCTTATCCTACATGATTGGGTGTGGTAATTGGTTGGCTAGTGGAATAAAGGAGTTAAAGTAAGGAATCATGGGGGAAAAAAAAGGTCTTAATTATTTCACGTATCTCTGATGTAGGATCAAGGTCCTATTTGGGGCTGGAGCCTGAGTTCTGTTCTTTAGAGTTACCCATGATCTTTCTTATATAAAAACAAAACAGTTGCAGTTGAGTCAACGAACTCATTCATGGTGACCCCATGTATGCATAAATGTACACCTAAGATTTCTAGTTTTGATTTCTTTAAAGTAGAATAAGACTTTGCAGATCAGTCTAAGAATGACATCTTTTACAGTTTGAAATATTTTTCCACACTCTTTTATGGATGTTGTCTTCTTCTTGTTAGGTGCCGTCTGTCAGATTGTCGTACTGTGGTGGTTTGCATGATGCTGTGAGGCTGGAGGCTATACCACCAATATTTTATGTATCAGCAGGGTTGCCCGTGGTGGACATGTTTCAGTGGAGTTTTATGGATGTCTTATATATACGTAACTAAACAGGGTTTTGTTTTTGGAGGGGATTTATGTTCATCAACTCTTTCTAAAGCAATTTAGTTTCCATATAGATTATTTATTGTGCTCATATCTTACTGGTCTATATCAGGAGTGGCTTTTCCAATAAGCAAGGGAAGCCTGTGCTTACCTTGCTTACTTGGTACTCTGTCCCTGTCAGGGATTAAAAATTTGAAAAGAGGCTTTGATTTTGTTGGAAGGTGCCATGGGATTGGGAGACAGATGCCAGCCATACGTAGAAGCAGGATCTTTGATGCAGTGAAAAATTGTGAAATTGTTCATTACAGATTAGTAAGTAAGCACAAGTAAGCTTGTGCTTACCTTGCTTTTTGAGTAACCCAACACTGGTTTATATGATACTTAAATAAATTACTGTAATTCTTGTTTGCATGAACAAGTTTGGGAGCAAACACACCAGATTCTTGTTAAGCGTACAAACTCAACTAATTGAAGTAGATGAGTGCAACTGAACTAGAAAGAGGCCTATGTGATCGGTATCCATGGTGTCTGTCAGTTTGTTTTTATGAAGTATAGGGAGAGCATTGATTAATCCTGTTGATTCAGTGGAGGTCACTTAGGAAAGCTATTGTACTTTCAGATACTCATTGCCATTGAGTAGATTCTGACCTTATAGGACAGAGTTAGAACTGCCCTATGTGGTTTCTAGGTCTGTAATGTGTACGGAAAGGAGCTCTGGTGGTGCAGTGATTAGGGTATCATGTTGCTAAGCAAAAGGTCAGCAGTTCAAACCACCAGCCACTGTGTGTACAAGAAAGATGATGCAAGATTTACAGCCTTGGAAACCCTGAGGCAGTTCTACTCTGCTCTAACAGGTTGCTTTGAGTTGGAATCAACTTGATGACAGTGTGCTTTGGTTAATTTTTACAGAAGCAGACTGCCACACCTTTCTCTTACGGAGTGGCTGGTCAGTTCTAACACCTGCTTTTCAGTTAGCAGCCAAGTGCTTTAACCACTGCACCACCAGGGCTCTTACTTTCAGATAATAAATAAAGTGTTAATTGTATAGTGCAATACTTTTCACAGGAGTCAATAGTAGTTTACCATATTTTAAGAAATTTTTTTTTCTTTTCTAAGCAGTTACCTCGGAAGGAAGGTTGGGCAATCCTACTTCCGTAGTGATACTGCCTCGGAAACCCAAGGAGGGGTCGCTATGAGTCGGGGCCGACTCGACGGCACATAACAACAACAACAACAAAGCAGTTATAAACCCAAGGAGGGGTCGCTATGAGTCAGGTTTGACTCGACGGCACATAACAACAACAACAACAAAGCAGTTATAAACCCAAGGAGGGGTCGCTATGAGTCAGGTTTGACTCGACGGCACATAACAACAACAACAACAAAGCAGTTATATAACATTACTTGGGTAATGCTGTCAAAGATGAGTCTAATATTTTCATTAGCATAGGCTCTTAAATTATACCTGCATTTGTATATGCTTGTATACTTGTTCTATTACTTGTGAACTGTAATCTTCATTAAATTACTTAACCTCTGAGAGTCTCAGTCAAGTTCCTTATCTGTAAAATGGGGATAATACTGACTTCTCACAGTTGTTGTTGTTGTTGTTGTTGTTTGCCGTCAAGTCGGCCCCGACTCATAGCGACCCCTCCTTGGGTTTCCGAGGCAGTATCACTACGGAAGTAGGATTGCCCAACCTGTTAGAGTGAAGAAATTTAACAGGTGTTTGGAACATTGTTGTTGTTAGTGCTGTCGAGTCAGATCCTACTCATAGCGACCCCTCCTTGGGTTT